TTCAAGGATAGCATCCTCCAGACTGGAGAAAAAGTAAGGAAGACTAACCAGCTTCGCCTGCAGGAGCTCCATTCGCTTACAGACCTCAACATAATTGGGTATTCGCTCCATCATATACCTGGACCAACAGAGAAAGGAATGAGTTAGAGAGGGTAATTCGATGGTGTTTCCTTACATGTTTTCCGCTGCTGCAACAAGAATCTGGTCTTCCGGCCCAGAACGTAGGGCCGAGTATGACAAGTCAGGGAGGGCCTTGTACACCGGCAGCCGGGTGTTGATCATCCAGCAGTAGCCGTGGTACATGCATGTCTGCACAAGGCGTTAACTACATATCACTGGAACGAGAAACTGCTTACTATCAAAGCATGGTCGTGGGGACTGATGGACTCTGGTGGCCTTGCAGTCAAGAGCAAGCTGGTAAAAGGGCTAGTGTTGATCGCGTGGATCAACTGGGAGAGGGCATGCACGTCGTCGATGCACGTACCGGTTGGCGCCGGGTACGCACCCCTTCCACCGGAAGACGTAGCCACTTACCTTGTACTCGTGGAGCACATCTCGCAGCAGTCGCAGGAGAACTCGGTCCTTCGTCTTCCTGTAGAACCGCGTTCCAATCCTAGACCGGATCATGGGCTCGGCCTACTTCCACTACGAGCAGCCCTCCCGATGCAGCCAGACGGGGCGCTGCATCATGGCTGGGGATGCTTCGAGTTCCTCCAGCTGGGAGGATTGTAAAACCCGAAGAGAAAGCAACGAGATGTAGCGAAGGTCCTCGTCGGTGACACCGTTTGTGGGAACTAGCCGGAGGTAGAGTTCGCGCTCTTGAAGGCTGTCAAAGAGTAGAGAAGCTGGACGAGACGGCCCAGCTTGCCCAGTCCGCCCCAATCGAAGAGAAAGTTGGTCTGGCACCTGGACACTAGATAGGCTTCCTCGCTCCCACGACTCGGCAAGAGCTCTAACCAATTTGCTCTTACCGGCCAGCTCCCTGCGGTGCGCCATAGCCAAGTCCCTCTGCCACAGCACCCTCCTCATTCTCTCCATTTACCCTAATCCTTGCCACGAGACACGTATTTATTCTCGTTTCAGTTGAGAATATACTTTATATACTGCTCTTTTAACATACCTTTTCTCAAAGGCTCGCCAAGGTTTTGGATTAGTTATTGATGATGGAAGCTTAGATTGAAGAACACCTCTGTGGAACACCTTTGGCCACAAAGTCATTTTCCTTAGACTTTGATGCCACTGGCTTTGGTTCCTCTTGCTCGCTTTCCTCGTCAACTCCTCGCAATGCAACATCCTATTTGTCCCACTCGTCCATGGCGCTCACTTTTAAACTACAAAACGTGAGAGTCCGAGGAGAAAGCATTGGAGAGCAGCACAAAAGCCTGTCCAAGCTCCTCGTCCATTTCCACAAGCCTCTGTGCGGCAAAAGCCGCTTTTTCCAGATCGATGCTACCTCTGGATGATCCCAGCAGCGCCTTCCAAGCTACAGTATCCGCTTCAAACGGCATTCCCTCCACCACTTCCCGAGCAAAATCCACGCGCCCTGCTCGTCCTAGAAGATCAGCCATGCACAGGAAGTGCTCCAAGCTCGGCCGCGAGGAGTGATCCGAAACCAAGATCTGGAACAAGAGCTTACCCCGCTGGAGAAGCCCGGCATGGTTGCAGGCCACGAGAGCACACACGAAAGTGGTCGAGTCCGGGGTCACACCCTCCAGCTCCATTTCCAGCAGCAACTCCAGGCTCTGGCTTGAGTCTCCGGTGTGAGCCAGCGCCGCGAGGATTGTGTTCCAGAGCACGGACGATGCGCCAAAACCAGCTCGGAATGCGTGAAAAACTTCTCTCGCGGTCCCGACGCTCCCACACTTGGCGTACATGTTCACCAGCGAGCTGCAGAGGAACGCGTCAGCTTGCATCATCTTTCTCTCGATCAGGAGCTCATGAAAGATCTTACCGGATGACAAATCTCCCAGCAAAGAACACGCACCGAGAAGCGTCGACAGAGTTGTGGAGTCGGGATCCATCTTCATATCTTCATACAGCTCCAGCGCTTCTTTCCCTCGACCGCTCTGGACATATCCCCCGAGCATCGTGTTCCATGCCACCAAGTCTCGCCGCTCCATTCGATCAAAAACGCCCCTGGCAGAAGCACAGTCGTCAAAGCTAGCATACATCTTCCCAAAGCAGTCTCCAAAACAAGGCCAGTGTTCTCGAGCTTACTTGCAAGAATTCGCTGGTGGATCGCCTTTCCTTGCTCCAAAGTCGAGCACGCAGCTAGAACAGTGGAGTATGTCACTCTGTTGGGCGGAACGTTCATCGCATGGTAGATCTCCAGTGCCTCGAGGCTATGCCCGTGTTGTGCATATCCACCAATCATGGCAGTATGCACCACGACGCTCTTCTGCGCGATGCCATCAAAAACTCGTCGAGCATCGGCCACTGCCCCGCATTTCCCATAGAAGTTCACAACAGCGACTTGGAGAACTTGATCTTCCTTGTCGAATCCACAGCAAACAGCTCGCGAATGGATCATCTTTCCGGTTTTCAAGTCCCTGGAGCTCGAGCAGGCACCAAGAACCGTGGTGAGAGTCCTGTGATTCGGCTCTAGCCCCTCCAAGTCAATGGAATGGTATGCCCCGAGAGCTTCCCTGACAAGCCCGTGCTGGGCATACCCAGCGATCATAGCGTTCCACGGAGCCACACTCGCCACCTTTGTCTCCTCCAAGAAAGCTCTGGCGATCTCCACACGACCAAGCCTCGAGTAGAAGCTTACGATCGAGGTTTGCGCCATTGCCTCGAAGAAAATCGCAGGAAACTCCGCCAGAGTTCTCGTGTGGATTGATCGCCCCAGCTCCAGATCGTCGCAGGACCCGAGACCGCTGGAAAACGAGATCTCATTCGGCTCAATGCCGGTAAAGATCATCTCGTTGTAAGCATGAGCGGCTTCTCTCGAATGCCCGTTCCGGGCATATGCGGTGAGCATCGCGTTCCAGGATACCAGGCTCTTCTCCGGAATGGATTGGAACACGGATCTCGCGAGATCGACCCTCCCGTATCTACCATACAACGCCACGAGAGAATTTTGGAGCATGAGATCAAATTCCAGCCCCGAGGAAGAGATATGGCGATGGATTGCGGTACCTTGAGCCGTGTTCGTGCAAGCTCCAAGAACTCGAACAAACGTGTGCCGGTCGGGCCTCTCTCCCTCGAGTGCCATTCGCCGAAAGAGATACAGCGATTCTTCCCCTCGTCCATTGCCCGCGTACGCGCCGATGACGAAATTCCAGCACAGAGAGCTCTTCCGGGGCAGCGATTCAAACAGGGATCGAGCTCGATCGACGCTGCCGCACTTGCCGTAGAGCTGGATGAGCAGCGCTCCGAGATCTGGATCCGTGCCGAATCCGGCCGCCGCAATGCAAGAGTGGAGAGAGATCGCGTCGGGGAGATTGGCGGCGCACTGCCGAATCGCCCGGGCGTAGGCGTGGATCAGTGGCATAAACCCTAACGGATATTCCTCTTTGAAATCTACTTGCCGTTTAAATCTGGGCAAAAACGTTTAGCTTTGAGTTCTCTCTCTCAATTTAGCGATTTGAAAAAATGGGCGGGAAATGAGAGTGACTCTTGAAGTAGGAAATGAGAGTGACTCCCAGAGGTAAAATCATAAAATCATAAAGCGTTTGCTGCTATATTTCTACAAAGGAGAACGCGTTTGGTGGTCGAGCCAGCAGAGTCAAAGAGAGCTTCAACACAGGATGGAACTGATTTCCAGACCTGTCACACTTGTGGAGGAGGAGATTTCAGTCAGGCGCTGTGCATTTTCGAGTAGAGAAACAGCTCGGCTCTTTTAAACCAGCTGCAACTGAAGGTACTTCATGCTTTTGGTTTGCAAGATTTGTAATCAAACTCGAGAACCAGGCGGGTTATAATCTTAGAGAAAGGAAAAGCATGAACGTTCAGGGCATGAGCTTCCTCTGGCGGATCAAGTTCAAGAGTAACTTTGCCCTTAACGGACCAAACGGGTAAAAGGAAGATGGTTTTGACAGTAGAATGCGAGGCGGCATTTGTCCACCTTCCACTGAACTATGCGTGCACGCTCATGGTCACTGTCTGCTTGCAATTGTTCACGGATTGATCGATTTCGGTAGCATTTCTTTGCGAGGCCGAGCCCGTTGCTGGGGGTTTGGAGGATCTGGAGTGTTACTAACGAGATTTAGGAGGAATTCTCGACGATCAAGAGGCAGAGATCACATAATTCCAGTGGCAGTGGAAATTTGCGCAAGTATATGTTGATTCGAACATCCTGGCCACACCGGCGAGAAACTGGCCAAGCACTCTCGCAGGGCGATACCAATCGCGCTGGGATGCATGGCCAGCTTCCTATATGAAAAACACTTTGAACTAGAAAGAAATCTTTTCTTAGAATAGGTTTTTTGTTAAATTGATTGTAGCAAAGTGAATCCTGGTCACTCGTGATTCTCAAAGCGCGCGAGTCATGTTTCCAAGGATGGATTGACGGGTTCGATTTTTGGTGCGATATTTTCTTTTCTTGCTCGTTCATTTTCTTAGCCGGGCTTGAATACCTTTCATGTGTGATATTTCATTACTCTCTTGACCGTCACCTAGGGCAAGCTCGTAACCACCATTTTTCTCTGCCAGTTTCTCACCAAGTTACAGTGCTGTTTTCCAGGAACGCTTCCGATAACAGGCCAGTTTCAAGACGATGATCTCCAAGAGTTCCCGATGGATCTAGACGAGGACAACAGTGCCAGCGAGAAAAGCAAGGAGGTTCCTTGCGCAACAACTCTAAAACGCAGCCCCGAGCTCTCGGGAATGAGGGCAGTTGTTATGGCTCTTCGCTAATTTGCACAACCCGTAAGCTCTATCAATCTCTTTGGCTTTGCCAGGATGTAAGCTTGAATGCTTGTAAGTTTCCAAGAAAAGAAGAAAAAACTGAAGTTTGCACAAGAATTGGCCATCACGAAGAAACAGGTAAGATTGTTAGCCATTGAATATTTCTTTTTTGTTTGTCATTTTTCTTCAGCAATAGCAGAGCTAGACTGCTCGAGAGAAACAATTAAGCAATGAAACATGCTTGTGCCACTGAGCCTGAGTTCTCTGCCGTCGGTTGCGTGTCGGATGCCGTTGATGCCTGCGTCAGGATTGGTGTTTCTCGCTTGAAAAGCTCCGCAATCGCGACGAGAGGACGACGCATCCATAGCAATCGAAGCAATGATTCTGACGAGCAGAACTGGAGATTTCGAGCCTCATTTCGTTCTTGGCTTTCTTGGACGGGCAGGCCTCTCTGTCTGTCTCTCTCTCCCCCCGATTTGTTTGTTCCAGGATGCAAGCGGCTCACCGACAATGCATAAGCAATTCAGCAATTTAATGATTATTTTTCTTGAAATAAAGCTACACAATTGGGTTATAGAACAAATATTATATTAATAATTTGCTGCGTTGCATGGTTTAATGATAGTATTAAATAATCCAATTGATCAAAAATTATAAACAAATGAAAGAATAAACAAGAATATACTAGGAAGTTCTTAAGAACGTTTATAAATTAAAAATACAAAATTGAATAACAACCATTAGATGGTAGAATATTTTAAATTATCCAAATATATTCTAGATATATTCACTGTTTTCTTAAGCAAACCAACAATCTATTTAATCTTTTATTTATAATTTTAGTAAAAAGAAAATAAATCATATTTAAAATCTAGAAAGTAAATGGTAATAGATATACCTATATGCTTGAATATTTGGGATATTCTACCATTATTCTTGTGTTTATCACTTTTAAACACCCTAATCAATTCTAGCTTATTTTAAACCATCACCCTATTTTTCCTTGTGAGATTTGGAACTTGTGCTGTCTCTGTAATGTTAATTTAGTATACAAATACAATAGTCAATAATCAATCAAAAATACAAAATGAAGTGAATGAAAAAAAACAGTCAAAAACACACTTTGAAGCATTTATAGAATCCCAAATAAATAAAATTTCTGGGACATTAAAAACTTGATAATCTAGCTAAGAAGGTAATAGTTATTTTCTTTATCTAATGTTTTTATGACATTATTAAAAACAATAGTTTTGAGATGGAAAACAAAAAAGAAAAAGCAAGATTTGAAGTTTACATTGTGTAATCTTGAATAAAATTGTTACTTTTAACTTTTTTTAATATTTAGAACCCTGCTTACCATGTATAGCAAATCTTTATAAATAAGAAATATTTAATTAATAATATATTTAGTCTTCGTGTTTATATGTTAAATATAAATTTATATTATAAACATATTTGAAACAGTAATCTTTCTATAACTTTGTAAATTTATATATGTTAACAAAATACAAAAATTTATAATATACTTATTCCGGGAGCCAATTGTAAATCCCCAAATTCTATATCTTAAAGGCTAGTATGAAAGATACTATCGTTTCATACTCCAGAACAAGCTCTATTGTACCAGATACCTCCTCCAATGATGCTTCCAAGCTCAATCCTACATAGTACTCAAATAGCAGGCCTATGGCTGGCTTCTGTACTAGGCAAGGATTCAAAGCCCATGAACGGTTTGGGGCAATGTCACGGGGACACTAGCAGCCAGACCTCTTGGAACGTACTGCGATGCCCTAACATGTAAAGAAAATTGACTTTTCCAATTTGTCTGAAGAGCGAAAATCCAAGGTTTTCAACAGTCATCACAGCCGGGTCTTTCAGCTTTGGTCCAAAAGTACACCTAGCACAAGCACGTGTCCCATATTCTTATCCCACTTATGCTGGATAGAAAAGGACGACTACAGGTGAGTGACTTGTCCAGCAATCCATTCGTCATGTGCTTAGACAAGGAGCCTGTTTGATCCCTCGGAGCAAAACCCAAGCAGCTTTACCAGGTTCCAGTGATGGAGACTTCCAGCACCGAGTAACTGGAAGAAAAACAAAGCAAACTTGTGACTGCCACTAGTCTAGGCAGTTCCTATCCAACTCGGTTTGGGGGAAGTCTCCACCATGATAACTCTTTGTGGAGAGCTTATAGTGCCTCACCGCAAGCAGAAACAAGCTTGTACCCCTTATAAGGTCATTACCAGCTTTTATACGTTTTATTCCATTAAAATCAAAACAGCAGAAAAAGATTTATTTTTTTATTTTTTTCTTATTTGTAAAACATTTAATCATATTAATTATATAATATTTGGATTTAATATATAAATTTATAAAATACCCTTTAATCCCTTTCTTGATATTTTATCGCCTTGTGAATGTAAGTTGCATACCATGAAGTGGTTTGAGAGTCACGCCCGACACAGGGCAGTGCTGATAATTTGGTGAGTGGCTTGCAGAAAACCTCCTAAGAATCATAGCGAGTGCGATTTTGGCCTCGACGAGAGCAAAAGTCTGCCCGATACAAACCCGCGGCCCGAAAGAAAAGGGCATGAAGGCATTGGGATGCTTGCACGCCTTGGAAGCTCCTCTCGCAAATCGCTCTGGGTTGAATTCGTGGGCATCGCCACCCCATTGCTCCTTGTCGTGGTGCATGGCCAGGATTGGAATGACGAGAACAATACCTTTGGGAATGCTGATCTTATCGCCCATGGTTGTGTCATTGAAGGTCCCTCGTTGAATGATTGGTATAGGAGGATAGAGTCGCAATGTTTCGTTTAAGATCATTCCAACCTGGAAAACAAAATCACAAGATTGAATTTACGATAAGTTTTGTTTGCTTACCAGCTTTAGCTTGTTTAGAGCCTCGGCATTGATCTCATCTTCTTTACAAACCTCAAGAACTTCTTTGCGGGCGCGGTCTTGCCATTCACGGTGTTGTGAAAGCAAATACATTGCCCAAGTTAAGAGGGTGGCCGTGGTTTCCTGCCCAGCAATGTAGAACGTCTTGCACTCTCCAACGAGTTTGTCATCTTTGAAAGCCGGGTTATCTTTGCTCTGCTCCAACATCAGACCCAGCAAGTCTCTCCCATACGAAGCTGATTTGCGGCGATCTTTGACGAGACCAAGCAATATTGCATCGAGCTCCTTTTGGACTTCCCATAGTTGGAGGTTTTCCCTCAGTGGATGCAACCTGAAAGATCCATAGTTTAATTATTACCAGTGATATATTACCTTCCAAAGGGCATCCATTGCATTGGTGAGAATGCAATCTTGGTCAAAAGCTCAGCTTGCAAGTTGAGAAGATGAAAAATCCTTCTGCCCTTCTCAAAGCTGCTTCCAAATGCAGTGTGGGAGATCACATCCGCAGCCAGGAAGGAGAACTCCTTTTCAACATCAATCTCAAATTCTCCATCGTTATCCCATCTGGACAGCACTTTAGAGGTGCAATCGACCATGGTTCCAGCCATGATATTCTGCAAATAATAATTAAAGTATGTTGAAAAGCAATTATTTTCCTGAATTTTACCTTGAGCTTTTCCAGATGAAAAGCTGGGCCGACCACTCTTCTGTGCTGAGCCCAGTGCTCACCATTTGAAGCAACGA